ACATTCTGATTGTACACACAAGTACCCTGAAGCTGATTTTAAGAGATACTTGAGTTTCTGATTGACAACATCTATGTAGTTTTTGGAAATCAGGTCTTCCAACAATCTGTTGGAAATCCCATGGGTACCAATTGCGCCCCGTTATAAGCAGACCTATTTTTGTATTCATATGAAGCAGATTTTTTTCAGAAACTCTACATAAGAAGAAGGAAAAAACCCACTTGCTATGGCCTTCAACTCGACATTCAGATATATCGACGGCGTATTATCAATTAACAATGGTTACTTCTACTCATATTTCGACTCGATATATCCCAGTGAGCTTGAAATAAAAGATACCATAGAATCTGACACATCTGTTTCATGTTTGGATATTTTACTAAAAAACATTAATAGTAACTTAACAACAAAGCTTTATGATAAACGTGACAAAATTTTTCAATCGTCAGCTTCCCTTACTTATGTAGCAAAATACCCTTATCATCTACATATGGGGTTTTTGTCTCTCAGTTGAATCGATACACAAGAGCATGCTCTAAGTATGAACAATTTCTAAGACGAGACCAGCTATTGACAAAACAGTTGATGAAACAAGGATACCAACAGTTTCTATTGAAGTCATCATTTCGCAAGTTTTATGATCGATACCATGACCTTGTCAGCAAATACAACCCATCATTAAGTCAAATGTTGACTGACCTTTTTCATACTAATTGTTAGGCAATTTACATTGAATTGCCTACGAATTTTTCTGTTATTTCTCGATCATGAGAAGGAGCACATGACGGGTTCATGTTTGACCGACAGGGGATGCTCACTCTTCCATGATACCTAATCCCACCTCTTGTGTTATGGAGGTCCGTGTTTGGTGTGCTCCCGATTTGTATTGTTTAAATGGACTTTGAGCATGAATACTGTTCGTTATCTCCATATTTCATTATACCTTTTTTGTGCTATCGACAAATATCTATGCACTTTAATTGTTCTTTTATAGAAAGCCCTATATACCAAGCCTAAACTCACTTGCGAATTTACGAAATACAAAATGGAAATGATACGGATTAGAATTAGCGCCGAAACAATTTTGAATTTTGGTTGATCAATGTTGCAAGCTATGTTTAAATTTTTATCAAGTTAACGTTGAAGCGATGTAGAAGATATTATACTCGCCTATAAGTCGGTCCGCCTATAAGTCGGTTGTGATTTTTGAGGTTATTTTGGAGGGATTTTCCATTGACCCGCCTATAAGTCGGTACAACTTTTTGCCAGGATCGGTGGACAATTTCAAACCAATGCTCTAATGTTTTAACATGTGTTTCAAATAATATTTCGAGAAATTACGCCGATATTTTATCTCTCTTTTTTCTTCTCTTATAAATTTCATATCAATACTCTAATGTATTTACCTGTGTTCAAATAATATGTTAGGGTATGACATCGGTAATTAATATTTTTATTTTTCAACAAACCAAACCACTACCATTTTAGTTTCTTTCTATACTGTTTTGTTTAAGCGTTAAATCCCTTGTCTTGTATATTTTATACATCGATCTCGATCATTGGCGGATCTCTGTTTCATGAACTATATAACGAGTCTACCAACATTTTGATGATATTTAATTAGGAGGTGCTCAATGTCCAAGCCATATCTATAGTTTTTAATAACGCTATGTTTGATCTTATATTAGCAATTATCGTCTCTTAATTACCTGTATCCCTTACCTGACACCATGTTTATTTAGTGGCACGCGCCCCGAGAACATTGTGCACCACACATGGGAAGCATTTTCATAAACAATCGAGTTTTAATAGACTCAAGAATAATATTCTGAATTATTTTTTAAGAATATCATATCTGTTGTCAAAAACATTGCAGACGGTACATACAATTATATTTTAATCCTAAACGTATTATATCGGGTTCGCAATTCCATTTTACCGATAAACGATAGATTTACAGTAAGTCACAAGTTAATATAAAGAAATATTTTTGTTAATAATTAATCAAATAAATAATATACACTTAAGATCAAAATAAAATCATTAAAACATGTAAATACTTTTACTTTATATATAATCTTAGAATACATAAATAATATAATACGTCCAGACATTTCTCAACGATAATCGTCGAAGTTGTGTAAAAAAAATACTACATTTCGTCGTCCAGAAAAATACCAAGCTTTTGATGACTCGCCTACATGTATAAGTCAGACATAGAGTTTTGGACCAAAAGTTAACTCCCAAAAAACCGACTTATAGGCGAGTATATACGGTATATTGCTGCAGCGATGCTTAGTTTTTAAAGTTTTTTGTTATACCTTGAGAAATTAGTTCCTGTATAAATCAATACTAAAAAACTCTAATATTTCCAATGTTTTACTCAGCGGTCATAAAAAAAATCTATGTTTGACCGCTGAGTGAGATATTGAACCTGTCCATGAAATATATAGGCCGCTAACGTCACACTGTTGGTGGGATCTGCTAAATCTCATGTGCATTCGTTGGTGTTCGATAGAGATAGATACAAGATAAACGTATGTCAATAAAATTAAATAAAATAAAAGGTATAACAAAACATTTATTGACTGTGTTTCCGGGCAAAATGCATTTTGTCGAACCCTCGAACCGAACTGTTTGCCTTTGGCCTAGCGGCCTTGGGCAAATAGTTTGGTTCTTGGGTCAGACAAAACGCATCTCGAACCCAGTCAATAAATGTATAATATATTGATAACCGCTGGATCGATATTGGAAGAGATAAGCGTGAAGAATTACAACATTCTTCCCTTTATTTTACTTTATTTTAATAGGGTGAATAACATGTTAAAAGTTCGGGAGATTCTCACTTATTTTTTGTGCAGTTGTAAATGTTATCTTTATTGGTACATGTACCGGCTTCGTCATAAAATTATTTAAAAAGTGAACATCCTGAACCCAAATGAAAATTATAAAACCTTACTTATGCAATGCAAATTATATTTGTCTAGTTTTCCCATAACGTTTGACACAAGATCAGACAATTTTACTTCAAGAAGAAGAACTTGACACGTGGGTTATCATGATGGCTCATCTTTCAATCGTCATCAGTCTTTTTGTAATTTATCAAGTCTTCGGTAAGTTATATTTCCCGTTTGTTGCTTGTATATTCAAAACTCTTGATTTATACTCTATATATTTACACTTATAATACTTAACCTCATCATGTCTGTAACATGTTCAAAATGTAGACTCTTGTTTTCAATTTAGAGATTGCCGAACAAACCAGTTCTAAGTTGTGTACCTTAAAGCCTTACATAGATGAATGTGGAAATCATGGCTGGTTATGGAATTGCAGTCAACTTAACATGCAAACAATACATGTACCTAGGAATATCCCAGATGAATTTAGAGATAACTTCTTGGCTATAGACCTCTCCAAAAACACATTCACCACGATGTCCACTGAAACATTTGCTAACGTCAGTATCAAATTGTTGCAGCGTGTTACAGCTCTCTATCTACAGTACAACAATCTTAAAACCATCACCAAATCCGCTTTTGGATCACTGAGAAATTTGTGTGTTCTTGATCTTTCTCATTGCAAACTGGAAAAAATGTCTCTTGCAAATCAATCATTTGCTGATTTATCTAAACTGAAGATTTTACGTATACATTACAACGAATTTAAACATCAGGGATATCCAGATACCGAAATTTCTAGAATACTGACATTGGAAAGTTTGACAATAGGGGCCTTTGAAAGTTTTCATTTCAATGACCCATTTCGAAAGCTAAAACAACTGAAGAGTGTTAACTTGTATTCAGAAAAATCAAAATTTCATCTCACAAACACCACCTTTGTCGGTTTGTCCAGCTCTCCTATACATTACTTGGAATTTAAATTCAGGCGTGATGTGTTTTGTGATATAAGTGAAGAAATCTTTTGCTCATTTCCGATTCTAAAAGGTGTCCATATTGAGTTTGGTGGATTGTGCGATTTGAACGTTGCCTTACTATCCTTAAAATGCCTTCAGAATAGAACAATGGAATACATTGTTGCTTCTGGGAATGTACCTATTATTATCGAAAAAGCTATATTTCTTAATAAGAACAATTGTAAATATTTGTTTACTACATGCACCAAAAGAGTCAGTCTTATTGATAACCGGATAGATGGAATTACAGACAACCCACTAAAGACACGAATGGGCCAATGCGTGGAGTACTTAGACTTATCTAGAAATAGAATTGAGTTCGTAAAAGCTGAATTTCTTATTGATTTGATAACAAAATATCCGAGACTACAAGTTCTAAACGTCAGCTGTAATGCTAATCACCCTTATGTTGGTAAAATATTTAACCACAGTGTTTTCTATCGTGTTAATTTAAAGAAGAGGCCGACTGTTACCTTCAATTTATCAAAACGTTTGATAGTATTAGACGATTCTAAGAATGTTCATTTATTAAATCCGTCATTTCCCTTTGACATAGCAATATCTGGTGAAGGTTTGCAAGAATTATACTTAGCACATTCAAAACTGCCATGCAAATATGTAGGTCTCATGCAGACACCTTCCTTAGAAATTCTTGACATATCTGAAATCGACTGTAGTGAAATGCATTGTAGAATACTACGATTCTCCAAAAAACTGGAACGATTTTTGGCAAAAAATGCAAGTTTTGGCGTTATCGATCATTCAAAAATGGAAAAACTTTTTATTGAGCTTAAAAGACTGAAATTTGTTGATTTAAGCCACAACTCTATATCTAATTTGCCGCATACCGTTTTTGAAGATCAAAAGCTTTCCCTTTCAACTTTGAATCTCGATTACAATAAATTTTCAAAAATCCCTGTATCTCAGCTACAAAAACTTGAACAACTATACATGCGTTACAATAAAATATCATTCTTTGCCAAATCTGACATTGACAATTTATTAACATTGAATAAAGATTTAAACTTATTTATCAAAGGAAACCCAATAAGCTGTGAATGTGCGCATATTTCTTCTCTCAAACGGATGAGAGAAAATCATTTCATATTCGGAGATCTTAATGACACCCAGTGCATTAGCAATTCAGTGTCCATGGGAGAATTTCTTCAGGAAAAAGCATTTATAGAATTTGAAAAGAAATGTCAAGCAAACTTATGGCTGACATGGTCTTCTGTTGTGTTAGTACTTCTACTTAACACGATATTGATGACAGCATTTGTGAAGAAATATCGTGTCCATGTTGATTATGTCATTTTTCGCCTGCGTAGTCGATGGAAAGGCATCGTGCATGTGGTTAATACCAAAACATACCGATTTGATGCGTTTGTGTCATACGCAGAAGAGGACTATGATCTAGCCTGTGCAATTCTGTATCAAGAGTTGAAACGTTTAGGCTTTGAAATTAGCTTACCGGACGTAGACTTTATTCCTGGTAAATCAAAAGCTAAGCAACTTCTGCAGTGTATTGATGAGAGCCGGAAAGTTATAATTATCGTCACCGAAAACTTCCTAAAGAGTGGGTGGAATTCCTACGCCGTTCAGATGGTAGTGACTCATGCCTTTCACAATCACAGGGACAAATCCATAATAGTGATCATTAAAGACGGTATTGCCATAGAGAGGATGCACAAGGACCTAAGATACATTTGGTGGTCTATTATAAGTATTCGATGGCCAGAAACGGAAGAAAATATGAACACATTTTGGGAAGAACTATCTAAAGCTTTGCATTTGGATTAAATAGAAAAAAGTTCATTTATCATTATTCTTACAAGTAATTCTGTATATAGTAAAACCTTCATACTTTGCACTTGATATTTGCAAGCTTTTACAACAACTCTTTGGCAAAGAACAAGGTTCACTTAGGGCCTTTTTTGGCCCTGTGAATTTCAGAAAAACTGAAACTGCTTGGTTTTAGTCGACAATGCATTAAATATCACTTAGACTTTGGTGACTGCGTATCTATCAAAAATGACGTAATTTTCTGGCTAGCCAATGCATTATGACGTCATGAAATGCGTTATTTTCCTCATATCCTGAAAAATTCTAAAAAACCAGTCAATTTTTAAAGGTATTTTTGATATTTAATATAGAGCGCAACCTCTGATCTAAAATATGCAACTATTAAATGATAGAACTATTTCTGAGGATTACAAAACATGCTTTATTTTTTAGATCAGAAGGTGCGCTCATATTATTTCTCTTCTGTGAAAGTAATCAAATATACTTGTTTTCCTTAAAATTCAAGAACATTGCAATTCCATGAAGCCTGTTTTCCAAGACCTTGGCTTTAAGGAGAAATTTTTAAATAGGAAATGAAAGCACTAAGTCTCTACTTTATCTTGATGTTAAAAAATGGAACATAAAGTGTTAGTCAATAAATTGGTATATCTACAGGGCCATTTTATCTCTCTCTGTAGTCTCTGTATATAGTAAACTTGGTAACCACTCCCTCTAAAATTGCATATGACTTTCCAAACAAAAGTTTACAATAAAAAATATCTCACCTTGTTGTAATAGAAACCTTGCAACTTGTACATTAAATGGTTTTCGATTAAAGAATGCACTGTTTACTGAAAAAAAATCACTTTTTGTGGGTCAAATATTCGTACTTTGACAAAAATATATTGATCGTTGGGGATCAGATTTTGTGGCTGAAGTTTTGTTATTAAAAAGGATGACTTGCCGTAACTTATGTCAGGGACCCCTTTTTCTACAACAAATTCTAATAAATCCGCGATGATTTTGATAGTTTTCAAACGAGTGTGAATAAAATTACACCTTATAAACAGTTTTAAAAAAGTTCGAATACTTTCAATTGTAATTATGAGTAATGCCGCATCATCGTTGACAGCAAAATTAGGCTGGTTTGTGACAATTTGTTGAATACTAGTAAAGATGAAAAGAATGAGTGGGTCTTAGTACAATAGAGGGATTGTGCATGTCAAGATTCCATATCATGTGACAATGTTTACCAGTCGGGTATTAAAGTACAGATGTTTGAACACCTCATGCAATCAATTATAACAATACCGTTATGTATTTTTAAGTAGATAATAATATTATTATAATCAACAATTCACAAAGCTAGATTTATTATCTACTTATATAAATGAAGCCAATAGTGCGTTGATATAAGTTGACAATAAGAGTCGATGATTTGTGGGAATAATGTATACCACATGATACATGTAATTAAAAAAAAGTTAAGTGTATTCATCTGGACAGGTTATTAGGGTAATGAAATGTCACGCGAGTTCACACAAGGTAAACACCAATCATTCATAATGGGGAATGCCATTTGGATATTCGAATGTCACGTGAATTGAGCGCATTGAGGAACATTTTTCGCCTCTGGCATATTGGTAGATTTTTAACTGAAATACAGTGACCCGTCAAGAGAGAAAAAAATGTACCTCATTGCGCTCATGTATTTTAAGAGCTTTATAAAGTGGGGCGGGGCTTACAATGAATGGAAATTGGGTGTAAACAATGTACCCCCACCTGAAATTAAGTTGTATATCTTGCATATGAACTTCGGCAAGACTGACATTCCATAAAGGTAAATATATATAAAACATTAAGTATATGCAAAAATTAGTGTAAAATTCGGATATTTATTTTACTGAGGGTCGTTTGCCTTATCATCCTTTGAAATTTAACATTTCCTGAAGGACAAATAATACGTGGATCTCCTCATACCATGAAAACATCGTAAGATAACACCCCCCCCCCCCCCCACGATATTTAGTGTTAGTGATTTCTCAGCATTTGTGACACGATAGCGGTGTTTTCTTTCGAAGTTTGCTGTTCTGTATTAGCAACACAGAACGGGAAAACAGTGGGGGGAGCTACTTTCCGTTCTGTATTAGCCCTATATACTGTCTTGTATTAGCCAACTGTTCTGTATCTAAAATGCAGCACGGTCTAAAAATAAATCTGATTCAATTTATCAAAAGCACGTACAAAAAGTAAATGCATAATTTTGAGTGAAAATATTTAAAATAAATTATGTACTGAAATATAAAATTTGTAGACTTAGCGTTTTCGTCGATATCTTTTGAAGAAAAAAAATATCTTTTTTAAAAATCGTAAAATTAAAAAAAAAAAAAAAAAAAAAAAAAGAAAAAGGTGAAAACTACAAAGCAATTATATCAATATTTTAATCGCCAATAAAAGAAATTATCATAAAATATTAAGTGTGAATATTGAAATAAAAAGATTCCACTTATTGTGTGGACATATTTACCACGATCGGAATATAATTTACTTTTCTGGCGAACAATGGTGTCCAAATATTCGCCATTTCCGAGGGTCCGTGTTCTTTTGCCCTGTTTACAGATTTGGATATAAAAAGAATCTTTCGTAAATCAATAGCGTGAAATACAAGATATTTTACAATATTAGTATAAATATCTTTTCTTATTTAATCCATTGCATGTTTTATTGTAATTTTCAAATGGTGGGGGAGGGGTCGATTGTTTCCAGTTACGATGAATTGAGTTTCTGTGTACCCAAGTGCAAGGTCGACAAGGGCATTACGTACATTCTTAAAATCAAGGCACAGGTTGAATAAAAATTATCGGTCTGTGCTGCTGCAGAAACTTCTTCTATCTCCGGATCTCAGTTATTGAAGGAAGAGAGGGCTTGAATATCCGCTAATTTTTCTTCGAAAAGTTTTACAGTTATTTTGGACGTCATATCGCTAACAAGTATAAAACAGCAGTGAAGATTGAAAAATAAAATCACGTAATCACTGTTTAATTATCTACTCTCAATAATTTATTTAAAAAAGAATTATCAACCAATATAACAGCGACATGATTTTTTTTTACTAGAGTGTACAGAAAACGACCATTCACGCTGTACATGAAAGCGTTAGACGCGTGACCAGGTAATTGTTTTCAAAACATGCAAACTCAGATTATCAGGTAGCCCACGTAGCAGGCCCGTCAATCAAATCAGAAGCTATTGTTTTTTTAATGATTGACAGGGGGTGTATTATTGATCTTAAATTGGGTAGATTTTGGGGTCGTTGACATAAAATTGGGTGTTTAAGTCTATTTTTCAAAGTTTTTTTTTTAATTTCATCTTGAATCCTTATCACTGACGACTGCCGCACATCTCCGTACTAACATCAAAGTCCATCGAAAAACTGTCTGTATCGCCTGCATGTGTATCTAGTTAAACTGAGATTTTAAGACCCTTAAAATAAATTAGGATCAAACTCCATTTACAACAAGGTTAAATCGTCCACCTTATCAATTAAGACTGACTTCAAGTCTGTTATATCTACCCCATTGTCAAAACTAATCTGACTAGATCTTACGTTGTCCGTGGAAATATATATACTGCGGATGTATACTCCCCGTCGAGGCCTCATCTACAGAGAGAACAAACGAACTCTGTGCTAATCCCGGGCAAAGATTTTGATTGGCTAAAAATCTGTTTCTAAAATTACATCAGAAAAATATTGTAGTTTTTTATGGAAAATGAGAGGTAAAAAAATTTTATTTATTCACTGCAATATTTAAACACTGGGATTGAATTTTCAAACCCACTCATTTTTTAATTTTGCTCTCTGGCCGGGATTAGCACATACCATTTCATGGTTGAGTTCGACTTTTCCACTCGCCGAGCACAGTTTTGACGTTGTTTGCGGAGATAAAAGAAGATAAAGACAAGCATGCCATATATGGTTGTGTAAATAAATTATCGTAGAAGACATAGGTATAAACATTTTGCCAGTGCATGTCCTCTGAAATTGTAAATGAGTGCGATTCTGAGGGAAGGGGGCACTCCGTGTAATTCGGATTTGGATACCTTGTGTTATTATTATACTATGGGTTAAAAAATTTATTACAGAAACAAGTGCCTGTGTCGTATATGCTGTTATACATTGCATTCGAGAATCTTTCATTCATATAGACCGGAATAACTAATGAAAGCTACACAAATTCCTGTCCCCGAGCCGATGAAGTCATGTATAATCGTGATGATACAAGAGATCAGTATATGAATATTCTGTCTTTGTGCATTGTTTTGATTAGTTAGTGGATGACAATCTTTTTGACACCCCCAGAATTAAACAAATATACAAGCAGGCCAAATGTCCACATTGATCAATACACAGTGTATACACCGTCGACAACCTGCATGCCCTCAACATCAACACGTTGTGCCCTCCTTAACGGGAAAAGTTGCATGCTGGGTTGACCGCAATCGTGCTACAAACACATAAATTTATTAATATCTGTAATTATATAATTTGCATAATTTTGCTTTACATTAACTCCAAAACAAATTTTCAAAGTCAATAATTACATCACATATATCAACATCAACCAGAGCAAGTCAATAACATAAACAATTCAATGGTTAAATTGAAGATGCCTGTTTTGCCACCTAGCTGAGGTGGGCAGCTTCAATTTTACCACCAGCTCTGGACCTTTAGCCAACTCAAAACCTGTAGCACCTTATCCACTGGGAAGACAACCCTCTCATTGTTTCTAATATCACCTGTAGATTATAAATAAATTAATGTTATTCTTAATGTTATTCTGGCAAGATGCAATACATCTTGACTGTACAATTGATTTGGTTTCAGCTTTCAGTTGTCCAAAAAGCCCCCCCCCCCCTTAGTAAATTTATCAAATGCAATTTTTTGCTGCATGCGTTTTTTTTTTTTGTTTGTTTGTTTTTTTTTTGTTTGCTGATTTTGGCCTAACCTGCATCATGAC